TAAAAATTACTGCCAGTCCTAAGCTTGGAAAAGTGTGAAGGAAAGTTCAATATATATCACATGTACTTACCTATATATTTAGTATATAGAATCAATTTAGTATATAAAGTATATTATATATATTCCTTAAATTTAGATATAAATAAGCTGGCCGCAAACGGCACGAAAAAAGTGCCGACCGCAAATGTTCTGACCGTAAATGTCCCGGAACCATTTTTTTCGATACACCGTTACTGATTTTCATGTATTCCCAATTTGTAATTTAGAATATCAAAAATGAGAAAGGATTCAGTTCTTCAAGAATAGATATTATCACCAAACAAACGATAAATGCTTATGATTGAACAAAATTTAAGTGTTATATCAAAACAACGTTAATTTTTATTTTATTAAATAAGGATGTTTATTAATAATTTAATAGGTAAATAGGTTGTAGCCCAATACAATAATACAATGCATATAGCGAATATTACAATCGAAAATTGAAATATATACTCAAATTGGGCATGTTTATAAACAGCAATATTAGTTTACTAACAAATATGAGATCCAAGTTTATCCCAAATCGGTAATACTATTGGTTCCTGATTATATACGTCCAGAACACATTCTGGCAGTAAACTCTTGTCAACAATGACTTCAAAAACATATTCTTTAAACCATTCAGTAGTCATCATTATAAATCCATTCGTGTTCGTATTACGTTTACCCCAAGAATTTTCAACACGCCACCGTGTAACTTCATCGTTCTGAAATAATGTAGACTTGTCCATATTATTGTACAATATTAGTTTATTTTTTTTTTATTGATCAAAGTACATCGACAACTAGGCCATTAGTAAAATAAATTTTTTGTTGTTACATTTTTAGTATTTTAAGTACACATTTTTTAGATTAAATTAAATTGTACAATTCTGTTTTTTTAAAGAATAAAAAATATTAGTTTAATATTACAACATTTTATGTCATTTTTTTGTTTTGTTTTTTAATAGAAACATGAAATCAATTTTAAATAATAATATAAATAATATTCAGTGAAGCCTTTAAAGTCTAAATAACGGACGATCTTGGTCTCCGAAATGCTGTTCGGTATTCAGTTGGTTCAGTTTGTAAAAAGTTATTAGTTTGTTATASAAAATATCCACTATTCAGAGGTATCCATTAGGAGATGTTTCACTGGGAGTTCAGCAATTGCGCTTAAAATGACCTTTTTATGTACCAATTGCGCTTAAAAYATTTTAGGGTGGATATACGGGAACATGTAAACTCTTCCGGGTCTAGTTCAGTACTACCTGAAGAGAACATGTAAACTCTCCCAGGTCTACTTCAGTACTACTAAGCTAGCTGGGGAGCATGGGGTATTATTCGTTTTACCACCGCCCGGATATACCAATTGCGCTTTAAAAATTTTAGGGTCAATAGACCAATTGCGCTCTATACATTTTACATTGCCTAAGGAAAACTAATTAATTAGTTACTAACTGATTTTTTTGCGAATAATGGTTTGGTAATCATGATGTTTGTATTTTGCATGCCTTAAGAATAATACCTAATAGTTTTTTTAAATATTAATTTGAGCATGGCATTACGATTTAGAATAATATAATTTGATTAGTTTACAAAATAATATTTTTGTTCACCACGAGGAAAGGAGAATATAATCATAAGTATAACATGGCAATTGCAATAACATAATTAATTGGGTCACCACGAGGTATAATCATAACATGATGATTAAAAAAAATAATATATTAAAAATAAATTAATAGGTACACTAATCAGTCACACGTTTGATCGTCAATTATTCAAAATTAAATCGTAATTATAAATATAATAAAAATATATATAAACACATAAATTATTTTTTGGGAGTATTAATAGGTACATAATAATATTATTATTCATATTTAAACATTTTTATAATAATAATAACACACAATCTTTAAAAATTCTTTTCYGCTAATTTCGCCAGATTTGTATTTATTGATATAAGAATTGATTGTTAATTCTTTTGTTAAATATGCTCTATTTGAAATATATTAAGTAAAATTTAAAAAGCGCAATTGGTACACTAACCGTAAAATATAAGAGGCGCAATTGGTACAATGACTCTTAAATGTATGCAGCGCAATTGGTATATTTACCCTAAAATACAAATTTTTTTTAGGCGCAATTGGTCCATACCAATTTCACTGTATATTATGTGTAAGCAACGTTGAATCCAGACAATTTTTCTGGGGGGGGGGCTCACTTTTTTTTCATTGGTGAATGGTGATACGTCATTTTAGTATTATGAATTATATCTATTAATAGGTAGTTATTCTTATTACAATTTATAATTTAGACATTTCAAATTTATAAAAAACTACAAAACAATTTTTTTTTAAAATTTTTAAATCTATCTAAGGTTGTCACACATTATAAATCGTATTACCTATTATTATTATTTATTGCAATTCAGAAATTATAAATATTTAAAAAGTTATAAAACAAATTATTAATTTTTAAATTTTTAAATCAATCTAAGGTTAATCTAAGGTCGTCACATATTATAAATTGTATTATTATAATTTATTACAATATTCAAATTATAAACATTGAAAAAATTACAAAATAAATTAGAAACCTATTAATTATTTATTTTTAAATTAGTATTGTGCATTTAATAAATAAGTACATTTTGTTGAAAGTCAGAAAGTTATATTTGTCAGGGGGGGGGTGAAAGAAATTTCAGGGGGGGGGCGAACGCCCTCCTTAAAGTATACCTGGATTCAACACTGTGTGTAGGTTATTGAGTTATTATAGAATTACTTCTTCGTGGAATCCAGACAATACCATTGCGTGCGTTGGAGATGAATCATGGTATAAAATCCGTTCACTTTTGGTCATTGGAATTGATATGTCGGTACCAAACAATGATTCTATGTCATGTCTAAATAATATTATAATATAATACAGTATACCTATAGTACGTTCRATATAGGTAGTACAGTAAGTACAGCATACATTTTTAAGTCTTCGAACCCAAGTTCGCTTGAAAATCTCTGGTCCACTTCGCAACTGTACCAAACCGGTTCGTCGAGCGTGGCGATCGATTTTTTGCACGCYTCCAACAGTACTTCAATTGGTTGATTGTTACGCAAGATTTTAGAACCCTCCTCGACGCTCCCAATCAAATCCAACGTGTACAGCCGACCGAATTCTATGTTGGCTCTTGGGTCGGATATCAGAGAGACCTTTGACGGAGAAAGAAAATATTTTTGCAACTTGTAAGRCGTATAAGTATTAGTGGTGGGCATATATCCGGATTTCAAAAATCCTAATTAGGATTTCACTGATTATCCGGATTATTCAACTCCATTTTGCTGTTAAATGACTCATTTTTATACAGTAATAAATAAATAATATTTTAATTCTATAACATGATTTTCGTATACCAAATTTCGAACGCATTTTAAGTACCGGTGATATCATAAAATTTAAGTATTAATTTTTTATTAAATTTTTATTATATTAAAATAAAATAATTTATTTTACCATACATTAAAAATAATTGTAAATCTTAAGTCACATAAAAAACAAATCCATAAATTTGGATGAGAATTTGATTCTAATCCGGATATTCGGATAATTCCGATATTCGGATCTCATGCCCATCCCTAATAAGTATATAATATTATGTTGTAAATCATTGGTGGTTGTATTATATTATAAACATATCAGAGTTTGCGAAATAAAACCAATACCCACCTTATCTTCAATGCGAAAAACCGGGCGGACCATTGTGTTATAGAACTCGAGCGGCGTAAAGTATTCATACAGTAAGGGTTCATCAGAACCTATGCGATAATGCCACTTGAACGTCTGCTTCGGAATGCCCAAACATATTCCAACGATTCGGAACACAATGCACATATCCTTTTCGATCTGGTCAGAAATATTACTATCCGTTTCGTTATTGGTCACCATATTATGCAAAACAATGGCAAATTCTCGGAGCTATAATGCATATTATAACAACATAAATGTAAAATATTAAGCTCAAATAGTTTAGTGGCGAATGTGCTACTTTTATACAATTTTATTAACTTTTTTTCATATTGTATAGTAAGTTCTAGACCATCCCTTTAATTTGCAGGACCCGTGAAAATATTAGTTCCTTAAGTGCGAGGCTCTAATGCATCTAAGTGCTGCGCACAGCTTATTCTACTGTAATGTGACGACCCTGATTATAACTCAAACTTCTCGAATAATCCTAACTTTATAAAATATAATAAAATATCTTAGACCTCGTAGTAGAGATGAAAGTAACCATGAAAACTTATATCAAAAAACCGGGGAAGTACCTCTGTTGTATAGTAGGTTTTTAATGTAACTAATCATTGATTATGGATGTGTTGAATTTTATACGAATAACGATTTTGAGCAGAGATTATTTCTAAGAATATTTAATCATTTATTCATATCGTTATTAGTTATTAATTTGTCTATTAGGTGTAGTAGATGATACGGTGTAGGTTAAATTAATTTTCGATAAAAACATTGAATATTATAATACTATATAGTATATAGTTTGTAATAATTATAATATATGTATATATATATATATATATATATGGATATTATTGCTATGGAATTATATTAACAGGTTGAGTGACATGAGACCCAATTTTGGATATCAACTAGATTTCAATGGCTGCCAAAAATGATTTTAAAATGTTGTTTTCTATTTCCATGGTATTATATAAAAATTGAAATATATATTTGATATTTTGTGGTTATATTTTAACATGTCTTAGAAATAATTATAATTTTAGGTTTTTAATATTCATATCTAAATATAACACAGAATCTCATAATAATAAATTTAACAACCAGAAACCGATAAATGAGAATCAATATTTATAAAAGTTTAATAATTCCTAGTGAGTCCCAAATTTGGTTCTAATGACAATGTAAAAAAATTATCTGGGCAAAATTGAATGGGAAAAAAAAACATAAAACCCACGTGGCGAACCATTAGCAAAACATCGTAAGTATGTAGGCATGTAAATAATAATAATACATGTATTCGAGCATATTTCACGAATATATTATATGAATATGATATATTCCACATTCTAGGAGAAATTAGGATCCGTGGTATAAATGTCTTAAAATTAGGATTCATTTTTTTTAAATTTTACTGTGTAAAGAATATGTTAATATTTATGGATTGATTTATGACCTATTAACAGTGGAATCCTTCAAGTATCTACAGATAACATAACATTTCACAGTTACAAAAAAAATTACAAAAATTCTTATAAATTTCCGTCACAGATAGTTCACTATAACTTTTTACGTTTTCTAAAATAATGTACCTATTCAGTGGGATACGTAAATTGTAAAAGTCACACGTTTTTATATATTTAATACTAAAAAATATTTATAACATCTTTAAACTTGCTTTACTGTTCAAAATGCAATTCAGTTCACTACTATATTCGCTATTAAAACTTTCTGGAAAACTAAGTTTTGGCATTAGACCATACTTTTTTATAATATTTACTGCCATATTCCAGTAGCCACCGTCTTCAATAGGATTCTATAAAATAATCACAGTTTTTGTTAAAATGACTATTAATTAATGCATACATTCTTGGTTTTCATATTATCGATGAATGATAATGTCGTAACTAGAACTTATATTAGAAACAAAATATTTACACCGCTATTTTACATACATAAGAAATAAAAACACTTCATATAATTACCTTTGTTACTCTTTAATTTTATAATATATTATTAAGATACGGAAATAAAACGTTTAGTGTATTATTAGATTATTAGTTGTTTAAATATTGGATTAGTACCAAAATTATTTGACATTCAATTTATATTAAATGTAAAAAATAAAAATAAATAATATTCTTTTATTTGTTTGTTTGTGCTCGTCAAAATTGACGAAGGCGTATTTTAACAGTAGATTTTATTCATTTTATTTTCTTACTTTTAGTAGATGTGAGACTGTTCTGGAGTCTAAAAAGTGACCATCTTTTGCTGTTGTCACTATTGCATTCAAGAAAAGGTTGCTTCGCTCAATCTAAAAAAAAATGTAGGCAATTGACAGTTATAAAGAAAACGAACTTTAAAAATCTGTTTTTGCTTTTAAACTATTTATTTTACTTTGAATCCAGGAACACAATGGGTACAAAAAATACATCATAATTCATAATTCCTAACTTTTTTAGAAAAATTTATACTRTAATGAAATTTGTTACCTTATCCCAGAAAAACATGTGAGCTTGGCTGAATTCAAATTGTGGAATATTATATTGTTTCATAAACGGAACCCTTATCACGTTTAAACAGGCAAAAATCCAACAACGGCCAGAATATTTTTGATCTCCTATCGGATTTCCGCAATTTTTTATCTAATTTAAACAGATGTAAAGTAATGTTTAATTTATTAATGTACCATAAACTGCCATATTACACGTTATAAGCTAATTACTCTTTTAGAAAAAAAATAATTAGAGGTCATTTGGTCTTGAATYCTATTTCTTGACAATACAATTTTAAACGGGTCATTTTCAGCACAGATATTTTGAGCCAAAACATTTGACGAATTAGAAAAAAATGCATCTTTGAACTTTGACAACAAATCGTTTGTAACTAAATCTTTATAATATACAATTATAATAAATGTTTTAATTTATATTTCTTAGAACAATTAGGTGTTAATAGCAATTATCAGTATGAGTGTACCTATTACTACAGACTTTTCACTATAATAGTGGTATTAAAGAATTTTTTTTTTTTAGAGTACATAAACTATATAATAGGTTGGTAAAAAATAAATTGTTTTCAAATAGACAAAAACGATACACAGTTTGACAAATAAATCTGTGATTATGTTACGGTGGGAAAAAACATAAACAATAATAATACATCAGTTGGGCAGTTTGGTGTTTTTTTATTATGAAAAATTGTAATTATTATTGTTGTAAAATTATAATGTATAATACCTAGAAGTAGATATTAATATACTTTTTTGGAGAAGCAATGTCAACAGCAGTTCCTCATCTGGTTCTCGATTTCACAAGAGAAAAAAAAAGAAATTTAATATTATAATATAGTAGTTTTGAATACTAAAATTAATGTGGCAATTCGATATATACGTATAAATACGTATCTATTAATGATAATAAGTAATAACAATTACACGCATAATAACATTTTGTACCTATACCTTATATAATTATAACAACCGACTAAACAGATCATTGTTATCTACAATTGATACTTATTATTGCGAATGAAACATTATATGATAGACTCACTATATATTATCGTTGTATCATGATTATTATTAACTGTAATTCCTGTTTCCGTACAATTATTATGTTSTTCTCTTGGACCAGGTTTTAGAGATATTCTCTTTGTGTACAGTAAATATTCAATGACATTAAATAGTATGTGCATGTGATTCCGTTTGCGGAAGTAATTACTMCCGAACTCCAAGCACAATATCCTCTTCAACTGAGCCAAATTTATTCTTCGRTGCTTCTTGATTCTCGTCAGCAAGACATTCGTAATTCTGCAAAATATCGTACCACGCATTCGTTTGTATGCCATGATAGTAYGCTCAAGCACAGCATTTGAACAYCATAAAAATAAAATAGGTACCTACCTACCGTAATGTTATTATTGATAAACGAGAAATTAGTTTTCATGGATACCTCTGCTCAGTACTCACACAGTCGCATGTTAATAATATTAATATCGTTGTAGATTAAGTAGGAATGACGACGAATAAATAATACAATTAATATTCATTGTGTGGGGCCTAATATTTTTTGACGCGCAGATTAAATCGATAATTTTATACGTGTCTCCATATAATTTATACTTACTACTTTATTCAATAAATACATACACGCACGTACATATACTTATATGGCACACACACACGCACTGCACATGTAAACAATCCATATGGTATGACAGGGGGTGTGACCAACGTATCGTATTTACTATTTACTTTTACGAACCCACCAACGTTGTTCGATCATTAATAATTATTGGTACACGGGGTATGTTGTATATAGGTATGTGTGTGTGTGTGTGTGTATAATTATATAGATGGCAACGATGAGGGGGTTAACATTTCAAAAACACCTAATCATATAGATATACAAAGGCACRCAGAGAGACACAAATCGCTACTGGCAAGCATTTAATTATATTTAATAATCTAAATTACGAGGTGACCCGCGGATTGCATAACTAAAATATACGTAAGCTATTTATAATTTATTAGAGGTTTCAAGAGGTTTGATTACATTTTTTTCCTACCTTTATTTAAACTGGCGTTGTATTCTATTACCATTATTTTAATGGTGTTTATTAACTCGTCGAAGTTTAAATCACCCATTATTATATTATAATATAGTAACACTTCCACATACTTAAGCTGAATATTTTTCTGCGAATTTACAGAATTTTTTAAAAAGTATCAAAATTAGTATTAGAAAAAATAACACACAGTTTTTGAGTATAAAGTTGGAAATATGCTTTAAATAWTGTACCTAAATCAATATTTCAAAAACGGAAAAGAAATAGCCAATACCTTGTTCATATTTTATTTTTGTTGTCAACCATTAAAATCGTATATCATTCAAAGTCCACCTAACATCCGATTTTCTCTTAGTCTCACTGTTCGAGATAATCTTAGAAGTAGGAATGTGCTGCAAGATTTTAATATTAACTAACTCGTCATTTGGAAAAAAAATATCTAGTCTAATTAAATTATTGAGTATGTGTATGTCAACTCGATATGTCACATGTGCGATGTGCTTATTGAGAATATTCAATTTACAGATTGTATGTGAGTATAATGTATTATTCTTAAACACTAATGTGTTAAAAATAATGTGTTTAAAACACATAATGATTTATTAATTTATTATATTTATATTTAAATAAAAAATTGAAAAAAATCTTTAATACTTTTGGCATAGTTATTGTTAACTGCAGTTAAAATAAAAGTAAGCGTACCAACTAATTATATGATAGAGGTGGTATTTTTCAACAAATATACTTGAAAATCACATTGTACATTTTTATAGTAATTATTAAGTAAAAAAGAAGTTCCATCATACGTAAACACATATAAATCATAAATTAAAATAAAGCTTCTTAAAACCAACAGTATAAATGATTAATCAACATACAAACGTACCTATACATATATATATTATTCGGGAATCATGTGGAACCACATTCAATGCATAGTATAGAATTTAGAGGGATATAGAGCATGTCTTCTAAAAAAAGGTTAGATTATAATACAATTATGTTAATAAATTAGTAATGAAACGATAGAACGGTTTGAACCAAGATATAATAATATCGTGCGGTTTTGTAGTTTTATGTGGCACACGACTGAACCGCATATTATATCCAACAATCAATATCAATAATTCCAGCACTTGTCGCATTAACGAATGCCATATTGTCATTAGTATTGTAATTTATCTAGTGCGCACTAAAATATTACAGACAGAACAGCAACAAATTAACTGAGGATAGTATTAAAGGATATAGTATACCTAATAAAACATGTAAATGTTACCACAAATAATAATGGGTTTTGTCATATTTGCATAGGTACCTAATTTATTTCACGTTTTATTACTATACATGGTGATTTACCAAGAATGCTCATTCACTATTCATTAAAATTCTGATTTTT